GATGTATTGTTGAGTTCCAATGACTTTTCAAACGTTTACATTTCAGAGTGTTACTGTTTTGTTTCAATCTCTCCAAATTAGGCTTGCTTACACAACAAGCTACAAATTGCACATAATCGAGTCACGCTGAAGAATATGGCAGAGAAAAACTGTATATATTTTCGCAGGTGAAAAAAAGGCCTTAATACGTTTCCGGCGAAAAGCATAAGATGAACGGACGTGTGCGAATCACAGGAAGTATAACCTTTAACAAACCGACAAGAAAATGTAAATAGCCAGAAAAGGAAGTAGAAATCAGCACAAGAATGAAGGAGAATCGTGTTTACGATGTCTCAACAAAAATACTTAGCCTCATGCCTTGCGTGAAAGAGTTTAGCAGCAAGATGACTAAAAGAATATGATTAATCTGGTGCCAAACGAAGTCATTCTACGATGACCATCAAGCGAAATAAGCTATCTAAGTGTCGGTGATCTTTTATCTAACATGTCTTTTCAAATCAACGGCCCTATTCTAGTTCCCTTTCACCTTAATACCATTGAGAAAAGCATGAATCGATTTTCCTCTTTCCCTAGCTATGGGTTAAATAGAAAGCTAGACTGCAGTCTGAAGACTTCGCTGGCAATCAGTCTGACATACACGCAAAGATAGAACAACTTTACCGAAAAAGTCATAGCAAATCACAGATAATAATGTGCGGAGGTCTACAATCGCCTATGTCCTGACAGGTTACGGTGTTTGAAACATGCGCTGTATATCAGGATAGAACCGGCTCTGTAGCCTCGTTTGGTAACCACTCTGAATTTGAAAAGATGTGGAAAATTATGTTTTAAGTTTTAAAAATAATAAATAAGCATACATATAGAAACAAACTCTGCATTCGTCTCTCTCTCTCTCTCTCACACACACACACACACATATATATATATATATATATATATATATATATATATACATAAAACGTTATTTGTAAGCGTTGAATCAGACCAGGAAATAGCAGTATTAAAAAGTGACCAATACACGTGTGAAAAAAGATAACATGTAGAGCGTTTAACTTTAAAAAATTAAAGTGGATTCAAGTGACCTCGTAATTTCTAAAGTTACACACACACACACACACCCACACACACACACACACACACACACATATATATATATATATATGCAGATATGTACATATATATATGTTAACATATATATATATATATATTTTAACATATATATATATATACATATATATGAAGATGCATACATATATATATATGAATATATATATATATATATATATATATATATTTTTTTTTTTCAGCTGTGCTATATTTACGGTATAAAGTGCTCAATATCAGAGATAGAGCGTATGTAAATATAAATATAAAAAGTGAACGTTGAAGTCAACACTCAGAGGCGACAGACTGTTTCATACTAGACGCAATCGTCTGGTCATGATGGTTGTGGCCTGACGATTGCGCCTAGCATGAAACAGCCTGTTGCCTCTAAGTGTTGACTTCAATATTCACTTTTATATTTAAACACGCTCTTTTCTCTGATATTGAGCACTTTATCACCTAGAAAAGCACACATTAACGTATATATATATATATATATATATATATATATATATATATATGTTTAGGAATATATATTTAGGAATATGTATATATATATATATATATATATATATATATATATATATATATATATATATATATATATATATATGTATGTATATTCTTAAAATATATATATTTAAGATTAAGAAATATAGTTTTAAGGCGGGATTCAATTACGGGGTAATGTTCTTAATATCCGAAATAGAGTGTATGTAAAAAAAATAAAGTGAACATTGAAGTCAACACTCAGAGGCTACAGGCTGTTTCATGCTAGACGCAATCGTCAGGCCTAACGATTGCGTCTACCATGAAACAGCCTGTCGCCCTATGTGTTGACTTCAATGTTCACAACAGCTTTTCTTTTAAATCTGTTTCATACGATAGAGAAGAAAATTTAATTATTTATTTTCCCAGAATTCTTACATTTTGTTCGTTTGATGACAGTAAAGGAATGCAAAAATTGGCCACATTGTCCATTGTTTCAAGCGCTCTCGGCCATTTCTTTAACCATTATCTATAGTTTTTTGTTTTTTTTGTTGAGGTTAATTTCTCCTCGGGTTTGATTGTTTAAGATGTGTTTTTGTGTGGGCTTGAATACTACTAATAGTGTTTATTCCGAGCCTCCGTCTGTTGAGTGTGGCTGGAATTCAGTTGAGTCTTTTTCCATTGTTAAAAAAGAAAAATCTCTCAACACTTCATCGCCACTGTTGAATAAGTTGAGATTGATAGTGGTAGCGATATGTTTTATATGCAGGCCCTCTCCCACATCTCGCTCTCACTATCTCGGTTACAATACACACACACACACACACACACACACACACACACACACACACACACACATATATATATATATATATATATATATATATATATATATATATATATCGGA